GACGCCAGTGTTGTGTGGGATCCCTTGGTGTCTGCGACTTTGCAGGTTGTTGCAGGGTAGCTTTGCTATTTTCGTCAGATGTGTCATCTTTTTCTTCTTCTGAATTTTGTTCGGTTGTGGCTTGGATATCAGCTTCTGGATCATCATCATCAAATTCCATATCCAAAGTGTTCAGATCAAATGGTTGCTCAAAGAGATCTACTCGTATAATTTCCAATTCAGTAAGAGCTAAAAATTAAAAAATATGATTAGGCTTTACAGCTTAAAATGCAATTGATTTACGTAAAGATTATGGCGATAATAATATTATTAGACAAGAACCTTATTTGTATTTTAATTTAGTTAAAAAAAAAAAAAAAAAAAAAAAAAAAAAAAAAAGAAAAAAGCATTTATTTGCATTTTTCAAGAGAATTTTTGGTCAAATAGCACAAATGCCTGGTAAGTCATTATTGATACATCTCTTTCAAAACAATACTGCCACTATAAAATACTTTAACATTAACCAGTAATACTTGAAATTACTTGATTATTTGATGCTTCTACTAAATATTTTCACCAATTACAGTCTTTAAACATTAAAATTTACGTTACTTACAAATCCCCAGCATGGTACTTGCAATGTTTTGAACGTATATTGCTAACCAGAGAGTATTTTACAGAGTTGGCACTCAATGTTACTTTGAAGCTCCTTATTTCATGAAGGGGAGGTCAACCTCCCACTCCGACGGACGCACCAAATCAGAAAGAAGCATCCATTTCTGCCCCTCGCCAGCCAATAAGCGTAGGATGGCGATCTACCTATTGAAATGGAGGGCAGACGTAACCCGGAACATTTGAAATTACTTTATCTAGCAATTTTTCAATACGATAGGCAGTTAAAGAATAATTTATTTTACCTGAAATTAATGCGTAAGGTAATGTAGTAATTCTGGAAGGATTTATAATTGTGAGGTAGTTAAATAAATTGTAATGGTGCAAGTGAAAATATCCTGTTACATGAAAGAAATTCTGGCCAATCATCATGTGCCACACTAATATTACACATAATTTCACGGCACCTAAACAATACAAAATATAACCAAATGAAACGTACAAATACCTACTTAAAATTATATCTAAATATAATTTTCACCCTTCCCATCACCTTGCTGGATTGAAACAGAAGGATGACAATTATATATACATATAAGGAGCGATTATCACATACATGAATACTGTTCAAAGGATTGGTTGTCTCCGTACCTTAGTAGTCATAGAATCTGGGTGTAAATCCCAGGGCCCAGGTTCAAATCCTGGCCAGGGCAACCAATTCTTTGAAAAAATAGAACTATTAAAATTATGCCATTCATAAAAGAATTATTAAAATAGTCATTTAACAGTTATGAAGAAATGTTTAACAAATAGTGTACATTTCTTGGTAACAATCCCAAACTATTATACACGAGCTATGTATATAGTTCACAAGACAACAGTTAGGAAGACTTTTTATGAGAAACAAACACCTTCAATTTGGTACATATTATGTGTATACAAGTGAAAATATAACTATTTACATTGCCCAGGCAGATTTCTATTCTTTTAATCAGTGAAATATTGGAGTCCTGCGGCTTGGATGTTCAGGAAAAAATCCATCTTGTATTAGAAGAAATGTTATGCCCTGTGCAGGAAAAGATATGGAGTAGATTTAACAGAATCTACTTCAAATTGATTTATGTCAAAATACTTTTTAGACTTGTAAATTTGCATTCTGACAATTATCCAGAAGTACAGCAATTTGCTCAATAACACACAATATCACATCATACACTCAGAATTACATTGATTGTTGTCCGTTCAGTCATGACATTTTTTTAAACACTGAAGCCAAACTAAATTGAGGGACATTAATGGCGATTAACACATACAAATAATTATCACTTCTCAATCACAGGCTATAACTAATGTTTGTGCCATGATACTCGCTATTATTCTTGTCATTTCACCAAATGGACAATGTTCACATACGAATGTATTTATATAGATAAAATGCAAGAAAAGTGCACTTTATAACATATTTATATGCATACCTTTGTGACAATTTAGTCTGTTGCAGGTTTAATTAAGAACACATTGAAAGAAAACTACACAAGATGACAAGATGTAGAAATTCAAAATGTATGGCATGTCGATTTAAATCCTTGAGTTATTTCACATGCATACATATTCCTATCTTTTACACAAGATTTGTATCAATTCTTATAACATTCTTTGTAATAATAGACTTGGAACAATGTAAATCACTCAGGTAAAAACTATCCCTAACCTCCATCTACATGCAATGAACTTACATTTGTCATTTGCACAATAGCTCACATCCCAGCCTATTTGTTTGGTGAAAGAATACATTTCACAGTAATACAAAGTAGTTAATAAACCTGTCAAAAAATCTATCTACTTTTTTAACAGACAAATTTGGATCTGAATGGACCAGGAGCAACACTACAGCATATCACTTGAAATCCAAAATTACCACACAGCAAGACAACCAAAATTGACTGTATTATAGAACTTCGTATCACTTATTTAAATAAATGCCATCTCCAGGATGTCCTGCACCCATTTCCAGCAGGTAGGGAGCTGCCTGTAATACAAAAAGAGGCGTTATTGAAATTCAAGATGGTAGTGGTGTCTCACCTTCATAAAACAAGGTTCCTGTACTCACCAGATCATGCAAGGAAGCCGGAATGAATAGTAGCAACATGTAAGGCAGGCCCGCAAATCAAAGAAACAAATGATTGAGCTGAAAAAATTTTAAAGCTTTCTTATTAGTACATATAAATGCTCAATGCATGTCACACTTGCTGGCAAGCTTTCTCTAAAAGCTCTGGGTGCTCCAGTAGGCACCTCAGGGCATTGTCAGAAAATTTTACGGGTACTGCATTCCACACAGCTGTTTTTTGCAGTCAACATTTCTGGCAAGATGTGCTCTATGCACACGTACCTCCAGAGTATATAGCGTACCTCCTCCTGTTCATGTCCTCCGTGGACAAGACGCCAGTATTAGGTCCTAATTCCCATCAGCCATTTAAACCTATAATAAAATTTGTAATATATAAATTGCAAAGTTTCGCAAATATCTAATTTAATGTTACTGCAAACAAAAATAATAGGACTATACAAAAACTGAGGGGAACAATGTTATAGTAATTAATGCAATGTTGTAAATAATTATCGTAATCATATGAAACCATTCATAACAAACGGGCAAAATATTAAGATCACTTTGCAAGTCTCGTATTTTTCGTGTCTACCAGCATTAATATGGCAATTGTGAAGCGAACAATGACGAAAATGCGGCATTTACCTTCAAAATCTGGAATCTTCGAAACCACAAACTGCCGAGAGGCGGTTATGCACGTTATTCATACAACGAATTCAAATTTCGGAGCCATTGGGGGTCAGTTTCGAGTTTTCGCTAAGAGCTATCGTCAGATGGCAGCACTTTCTACTTTTTTTATTAGTTTGCAAAAGTCGCTATAGAGCGCTTCACAATGAGGTGCAGTAATGGCTGTCGGACCTACCATAAATCATCAGCTCCCCCACCATGTCGCTGAAATAAACCGGCGCGAAGTTCAAAGACACATTTCAAGCATAAACTTGCGCCATCCATCTCATTGACATGTGCAGATCCTACACTTGATCTATTTGCTTTCGACTTGCGCTGAGACAGCCTACTTGATCAACTTGCGTTGAGATTGATTGTTAGAGATTTCGGGCGAGTAAACTGTAATTTGTCCCGTAAACGTAGTGCTCGAGGGTTGGCGGTCTTCCCCAGCTTAATGGCGAGAAGCGGCGCTGACTTACTATCGGCTAGCGGGGTTTCCCTTAACCAGGTATCGCCCACCAGTGGGGCAACATCCTACCCGGGACAAGCTCTGAGCTTCCAATCGGTCTCCCGACATGTTTAGTAGAGTAGTGCCTGTTGGTGTATGTGTAAGGGGTGAAGACGTTACAAGGAAGATATAGGAAAGACCGCGCGCGGTCGGTGGCCCGTTTGTTAGGGAACTGCTCCGGTATTCGTTTGGTGTTGATCAGAGAAACCAAGGAAAACTACCGATCAGAGAAGCTGGCCGATAAATGCTTCTCCAGACAGCAATTGATAATTTACAATTGAAGGATTTACATTTGTTATGTTATTACATTTGTTACTGGTACATATCGAGTAATTTTTCCTATGTATGTTCCGATTAGTTTACAAACGCACTGAATAAATTTACTGAACTAGAAAAAATTGATTAAAATTTAGATTGTTTTAATGAACACAAACTTAATTACCTGATCTCTTGTGTAATTCACTCATTTATTAGACAAAAAAGGAAGTGAGATTAAAAAAATAGAGTAATTTCATTTACGCTTCTGTCCCACTGTTAGCCAATTCTGCTGTATGTGTTTTGTGTATTTTTTTTTTACAAGTCATTTAGTATTGACAATTTTTGGAAAACATTGTATCAAAGGTTTTGGCAGCAGAAAAAGCGGGAGTGGCCTACATTAATCTTTTACTTCTGAAAATTATATAATCAATGAAAATTAATTATTGGTAGGCTTGCTAGAAGAGAGAAAGAAATAAAGATAAGGGGAGGGGTATCCATCATCAAAAGTTTGAATGGTACGGTTGACTTTTGTTACAATGTGAACTAACCGGGGCTCAACATTTTCAGTTCCCTACCACAAAAATGAAATAGTTACTTCACAATTATTATTTTAGGTGTTCAGTAAATTTAAAAATTCTTCAAATTCAAAATTTTAGTATCTTAGTTTAGCATGAAAATAATACTTTTTATTACTGTGTTATGAACAGATTTTTATTTGTAATTTTTGTAAATTTTGTAAATTTTTTTCTGGACCTATGCTTTTTCCCCACTCTATATTGGCCGCACACTCAGAATTTTGAAGTACAGTCTTTAAACCTCTTGCTCTTTTGGAATATTTCCTTTATTTGTATCTTTTTTGCCAACACATTCACTTTCTTGAGAGACAGAGACAGACAGACACCCACACCTCTTTTCTTTTTCACAAGGATTGAATACAAAATGAATGGGCTACACTTGGTATTTTGCTAGTAGTGTGATAAAGCCAACTGTTTTTGAACTTTACTGAAAGATTGGATGAAATGCAGATCATTATAAGAATAGTTCTCAATAGCATCAATTTATTTTAAATTAAAAATTTTATTTGCCCTGAAAACAAGTTTAATAAATAATATTAATACAGTTATAAAAAGACTTTAATATTCACAATCATTTGTGTAATGTTTTAACAAAATGTAAATAAATTCACAAGTCAAGTTTTAAAAACTTAAGAACAGGTAACAAATTTGATGTTCTAATCTCTACAAAAATACAGATATATACAATGATGTTCAACTGAGATGAATACCACAGGTACGAAAACTCCTTTACTGTTGCTGACAACATTTATTTTTTATTACGATCAGATACAGTATACTTATCATAACTCTTAGTTGGATCATAAGGTTCCCATCTACTAGCTGGGAAAATATGTTTATTACGTTCATACCAACTACGAAGCAAGACTTTACCAGCATGGCTCTCCTCTTTTTCCACTGTAGCATCATTAACAAGACGTACATCATCGTGGACATCAAACTGAAACAATGGACCACTTTTCCCACGAGCCTAAAAACATAATATGAAAAATGTATTAATTTTTAGAACTAAAACTCCAACACTTCTTAAGCTAACCCATTTTAAGGTAATTCTAATATTTATTGTGATATTTGAGTTCTTGAGTTCTCATGAATTTTTACATCTACATCTTAAACTGTTCTCAAATGGACATCATATTCCGTCAATTTCTATTTACCTTAGTGACAATGAAATCGTAAAAGGTATAATGATGAGGGAGAATAAGATCTTCTTTGACGTACATCAATTGGTCCGCTGTGACAGTTTTTAGTTCACTGAATTCTTTTCGCAATAGTTCCAGACATCTTTGCAAAAACTGATACATTGAATTTCCTAGTAAAAAAAATGTCAGTAGTTATGCACCATTTTTTAATCTCATATGTTTAAATAAACAAGCAAAAATCACCTTTTTTCATTCTCACTGTTCTTCTGTGACCTGAACCATCCCAATAACTGAAAGTTATTTCAATCTCTTCTTCTTTCAAGGTCGATTGCTTGGCTGCCCATTCCTGCAAGATTGGTAATAACAAGAAATACATTTAACTTTTTCTTTCATTAAATACAACCATCACATATCTTTTTTGAGTAAGAAGAACAAAAAATAATAAATTATCAATATAAAACAAGCAGACAAAAATTATAGGATAATTAACAAAAATGAATTCAATTCCAAGATTATTCAAGGCAATACCAATTATGCAACATTTCCATGATTTCCTAATTATCCTTGACTGAGTTGTTCTAAGCTTTTAACTAATTTGTGTCTTTTGATGTCTCTAGAACCTTATGGCTGAGAATGGCTCAATGTTCTTTTGACATCTACCAGACATGAGTGTATCGAGTCCACATATAGTACACAAGTGACTGAAAATGGAATTTTATTCTGTTCTCTATTATTCTATTTATGGCTTGTATTGCATTATGACATTGTGTTCTTTTATCCATAGTCCTTCCATAATTTTTAAATTAAAGTACTGCACAAAGAAGGTAGGCTGCAGAATTTAAATCTGAGGGAAAAGCTAGTGCAAAGGAGGTAAAAACTGAGGTAAATGCATTAAAAAAGAGGGTGGGTTATACAAGGTGCAGTTTGCAGACCTAAGCCTCATAAAAAGTTTACTGCTATTCATCATATCTGAACTCTTCTAAATGCTTATATACAATATTTTGAAGTAAGATTATGATGTTTTAAATCAAAATACCTTGTTTCACAAATTGTTAAAAAATGTGTCCTGTTAATTTCAAAGGACTAAGAATTATAAAACCTACTCAGGAATGTGGGTGAAAATAATACAAATAGTGTACCTAAGTAATAAATTTAACCATTAATTTAAAATAAAATATTTGATAATCAACACAACAATGATAGTGTTTTACTAATTATTCTTAGGGTTCAAATGTTTGTACAAAAACAGTCTTGTCAGCCTTTTCAATTCCCAAACAATTCTGAAATTTTAAATAAACTATTTCTGAAGATAAGTCCAATAAAATGAGACTTTTGTAGAATGCACAGGAAACCTTTCCATGATTTTACATACATTATTTTATAGATCAGTTCGTATTAATATCTCCTTGAATAAGTCAATCAAACTACAACTCAGTTCAGTTCATTTCAGTTCAGACTAGTTTTTGATTAAACAAACAATATTTATGTTGCTGCAATATTTAAATTTTCAGGTAGAAATTTACTTATTAAATTCAGGTAATTTGTCAGTTACGAGTTAGAAAATTATACCTCCCTGTACTTTCAAATTCATGTACAGAGGATTTAATCATTTTTAGAAAGTATGCAGGGAAATGCAGGAATATTAAATAATAATAACAATAACGATAATACAAACAGAAAAGAAAAAAAGTGTTGATAGAAGTCAATATCATGAAATAACAAAAGTTAAAGACATGTGGGACATCAATTTTGTCAAGAGACTACTACCTTCTACAATTTCAAACAGTCTTTTCTTTGTTATTTTTTACAGCATGAAACTGTAAAATGTCAAATAAATTATACTGAAGAGCCATTCAAAAATATGTTCACTTTTTCGGTGGGGAAGCAATTCCCCAACAGTGAGAAAAGTGAATGATGTGGAGGGAGTTAATAAATAAATAAGGTTTTCAGCACATATTTGTAATAATTATTTCATCATTAACTTCAAAGTATAAATTAATGTTAACATTCATTGAAAAAATATTTAAGTGATCACTTTTTTAAACAATTTAAAAATATATTATGATTGGTGATTATTTGCAATGCCCTTATACTTTCAGAATGATCCACTAGTCCACCCTGACAAGGGCCAAAATTACTGGAAATTTTTAAATTGACTCCACACAGGTTTCCAACATTGTAGGATCATTTTTACTACCAAAGTTTCCAAAATTTTTCATTAGAGAGTACAACAACGGTCCCAGTAATGTTATCCATTTCTTTGGAATAAGTGAATGCGGGATAGGATTAGTTAAGCAGAAAATTGGAGGAAATAATTTTGCAACGCTTTTAGCCAACTTTCTTTTACACACAACAGGAATGACATGGTTACTGAGGCTATTCTGCCCTTCACAAATCTATACTCAGGATAAATCCATTTCTCTGTGGTGAGAGTTATGAGATGTTACCGAGGGGTGGTGTATAAAAAGAAAAACTTCGAATAAATTTTCTTTAAATAGATACTAATATAAACAAAAAAGTAACAAGGGTAACAGATACCAAACTCACTAACAGTAAAATCAAATAAAAACACAAACCTGCCGTAACTCTTCTCTAAGTTTTTTTTCTTCATCTTCACGCTCACGATCAGGAAGAAAACTTGTATCCACATCTGGATTTTTCCGAATCTTTTTCACAGGAGGAGGGGAATCAGGTTTTTCAACTTCCTCTTCTTCTTCTATCTCTTCTTCCTCCTCTTCCTCCTCCTCATCTTCATCATTATCTAAACTGAATGATAAGGCCTGTATCTAAAAGTAAAAATAAACAAGCACAAACATTTTTCCAGAGTAGCTCATTTGAAAACTAGTCAGTAATTTAATGTGTATTTTGTTTCATAATTGTTCTATTTCATTACACAATCTCACTTAAGGTATTTAAGAAGGATATTGTTTTCTTCACACAAAATGTTGTAAAGTTACATAGCTTGTAAATGTTTTGAGAAAGGATGAGTGCATATTTTGTCGAAGTCAGTGGTTTGAAAATAAACAGAAAACTACACTCTAAATCTTTCACTTACATATTGTTTATTGCAAGTAGTGTAGTTAAATATTCAGTACCCAATCTATATAATAAACAACAACAAAATAATTCTCCACTTCCTCCTACTGATTTTCTTGTCACTAGAGCAATGCATTTCTAACTTTTTAAATATTGTACCCTTCACACATGACTAAAGCAGTTTAATATATCAAATTTCCCTTTATGACCAGTTCATACTTTTATTATTATCTTTGGGGTCATCCTTAAATTACTTAATGCTACGGAAGTAGGCAGGGGGATTGAAGCAGAATTACGGTGCATTATATATAGGTAGGAGGTATTAGTTACGCAACACTAATATGTTTTTTTACATTTTTCAACATTTGTTGAAATAATTGCTTTCTTGGGTCTTGTACAAAAACATTCAAATATTAACTAATTAATTTGTTTTAAAAACAAAATAAATTGAAGTTATTAAATGTAAACTGTTACAAGAAAAATGAAAATATTTTTTCATCAATTATTTATTGAATGTGCAAGAATATGAAGAAAATATTCAAAACAGAATTGAGGTATATTCTAGAATCCATTTAAATTGGTGCAGTAGACACATTCGTTCATCATCCACAACTGCATATGCACAGCTTGTGATCAAACTTTTCTCGCCTATGCATCCTTTCTTCACTCACAACTTGCCGCAATGTTATTGTAAGGAGCAGTCACAACCGCTAACTAATTTATACTTTAATTATAATTAATTTTAATATAAAATGCAAGTAAAATAAATACATTTTTTTTACTGTGCTATGATTTAGTTTCACTTCTTGGATTTATNGGGGGGGGGAGGAAGTTGCAAGTGGTATCTGCAGTATGTAATTATGGGGGGGTTCAAGCATGTGTAACAGGGGAGAAAGAAGCTATTCAAAATACTCCAAAATAGTATTTAGCAATTAATGGATGGTCCCTTTTAAATTATTAAGGATTTCAAAAATTGTTAACATTTGTTTTAAATTTAATCCTACATAGTAAACAATTACACGAACACAGAAGAAAATCTAGTCAATACATAATTTTCAATTCAAATAGTAACTTGTTAGAACATGGAACGAACGACTTTATAACTCATCACAACAAAGAAAACAGTGTGTTAGTGTGAATTTGTACATAGATAAATTAATAGGTTATAGCGTGAATATGAATAATCCTAATCACCCATATTTTTTCTGTAGTGTCTTACATTCTAGGACTTTCACATCCAAACTATCTTCACAGATCAGGTGCCAAAAGAAAAAAATCTGAGTTATATTTCTCATGTTGTAATTTATAAAATTAGATCTCCAAGAACCTTGTATTAGATTTTGGGAAGAGGTGGCTTTTCTGGTTAGCTTCCTCCCACTCCCCCACACTAGGTGTTAAGTGTGAATGGTATCTAAAATACAATTAAAACACTTCTCCTAAAAAATGCCTTTTTATTATCGTTATGATTTTATGACAACAATAGGAATCACTTAACTGTACTTCAAGCATTGTTTTACTACATTTGCATTTTGCATTTCACTTTTAATGTTTTCCCTTTTCCCCTCCTGACATCAATCTCTATAAAGCTGGAAACATACCTGCAAACCTGGACAACATGAAGGCATGATTGTGTATTGTGTTCCTGAGGATGCAGAAAAGAAAGAAGATACCAGTGAAGATATTCGATATTTTTCATAGATACTGACAGACTTGTTTTCTTACTAGAAATCTCAATCTACATTTGTACATGGATCACTTTTGAGGACAACGCTGTCTGTACATGAAATGCCCTTCTCAGCTCCTCCTCGTTCTCTCTTCTCCTCTGGCAATTACACAAGTGAGAATAACAAAATCTTTAATTGTTTTCACTGATACACTTTCAAGATACAAAAGGGAGTCCACAATGGCATTCTGTAATGACAACATTGCAAGTAAAATAAATTTCTAGTTGTTATACCAGATGGTCAAGGGCAATGAAGTTTACAAAAAAAGGTAGTTTCCTTCCATGTTAGAGCTAATGTAAATTTTTTTGCATGTTTATTTTAGTAAATATAAATGCCTTTTTGCCTACCTATTTTAGGTAAAATAAATACCTAAACTTCTGGGCTCTAATGATTGGTTAAAGTAGGGTACACTGTATACCCTCAGAAGCGCGGCTAAGGGGGAGGGCTCCTTAAGCCCTAATTACTCTACATGCTCTGATAGAAATGAATAAAACTTCGTGTAGGCGATTTTCATGGTTCGCCCTTCATATGCGTTGTCCCTGCCGTATTGTAATGACAATTTACTTTCAAAGGAAGTTTTCTCGCTTTGACCGCCCGGAACCAAGTCACAGCGAGGCTCGGGCTTCCGGCCCACGCATTCACTATAAATATCCTTGAGTCTATCCACCACATAATTACTCCACTCCAGAATTCAAACTGCCTAGTTAATGTCGAAGTGGCACCATGTGTCAGTTTAAAAGACTTCCGTAAGATGTACCATATACTAGACTTCAGCCTAATGATTAATTACAACACTAAGTAATTTGAGCTAAAGAGTGACTTAGAACTGCTTATGAACATTTTTAATGATGTGGGTGTACCTTCACGTTAAAAGTTTTCGGATGTCTTGTTCTTGACTATCTAATACTCCTAGACTAACACTTTTGATCTTTATTATTTCAAGATAATGCTTTGCTTGTGCAAGAATTACCAAAGTTACAAAATCTTGCCATCCAGAAACCCACTAAATGCAGACTTTCTAGTTATGGGGTTAATGTTTTCTTCGAGAGTTCCCATGGAAGTTGTTAATGTATCCTTTAAAAGTCTAATGTGTACACCAAGAAGTATGTGTATCGCACTTATTTACAAGTGGATCTACCATACTGTAAATGAGCACCTGTAACAATGAATGCACAAGTACTACTATTAAGATGAGCTTATCATCAATATTATTTTTAAATAAAAAAATAGTAAAAAACAATGTTATGATTTCCTGGCAAGAAGATATGTATAAAATTATTGTAAAATAGTAAAATCACGAGGTCCTAATGGCTGACTCAGGCCCTGGTGGGGTATACTGAGGCTCATAGGTATACACCATTAAATACCAAGAAAAGCACTCCTTTAATGGGGAGCCTTTGTCATAAGGCTGAGTCATCAAGTCCCTTCCCAAACCTCCTCATGGTGGCCCTGGATTCTCTGCGTGGTGACTACAGAGTAACAAAATGGGTGGGACGAAACGCAAGTTTCCGGCGCCTTAAAATGGGAACATGAGCTAAGGGAAGGAAACCCTGACAGAAAACCAAGGGGGGAGGGGGCCTCCCTAGGTGTAGTGAAACCAACCTTCCTAAGGGTTGACAACCCTGAAAAAAACAAAACAACAACAACAACAACATCTACCTCCAGGATTAAGCATGGGGGTTGGACGCAGGGCCAACATTCTGGCTCCATAAAAAAAAAAAAAAAAAACAACACTTCAGTTCAGAGATTAAATATGCCTCTGGACCGACCAAATAAATTTACGACAAAGGCTAAAAACGGACAATGAAAATTGGAACATGGAATATACAAGGCCTACGAACAAAGCAGACGGAGGTCATCTCAGAAATTGAAAAAGGAACCTGGACATAATTATACTTATGGAAACGAAGAAAAAAGGGACGGGAAGAAATTTTGAATGAATATCTTCATATTTGGAATGGTGTACCCAAAGAGTTTAGAGCAAGAAGTGGAGTCTCTTTCCTTATTAAATTACCTTATTAAATGCCTTAAAAAATCCTTATTAAATGGACAAAATTCATTAAACAGAGAGAGAATATTAATGAAAGGATACTAAGAATAGACATGAACGTTCTTCGTCATAAGATGACAATTTTAGGGGTATATGCCGTAAATGATAATGCAGTTGTAGATGAAAAGCATAAGTTTTTTCAAGATCTCAGCAAAACTATAGCGAGTATTCCGTATCAAAATGAAATAATATTAATTGGAGATTTTAATAGCAGAGTAGATAATAGAGAACGTGAAGTAGTAGGTCAATACAGAGAGGAAAATATTAATGACAATGGAAAAAGGTTAATCAACCTATGTAAGGAACATGCAGAACATGCACTATGTATAGGGAATACGTTTGTTTAGATATAAAAACATCCACAAATATACACGAATAGATCCAGTAAGAAATATTCAATCTGTAATTGATTTAGTTGTGAAGAATGAAAGAAGAGTTAAACTGAATGATGTAAGAGTATACCGTCAACCAGAATGTGGAACTGATCATCATATGGTAGTGAGCAAACATGTTTTTCCTTTTAGAAATAAACAAAGATGTACTGAAAAAGATACTGACTTTTTAATTGAAGAAAACAATGTAAATTTTAAAACAGATCTTTTAAAACAACACAGTGTTGAGATGCTCTACAAAACAGAATTCATAATAAGCTAGAAAACTCAGAAGATAAAAGTCCTGAAGAAATGTACAATCATTTAAAAGAGGCTGTTTTTGAAGCAGCTAAGAAAGTTCTAGGAGTGGAGCAAGAAAAAAGCAAGTTTGTAGAGAAATTTAGCAAAGATTTAGAAAGCATGATTAAGGAAAAGAAAAAATCAAATTTGAAATGGGTTTCAAACAGGAATGACTACACACAAAAGGAATATGTAGAAAAGAGAAAAGAAGTTAAAGAATTAGTAAAAATCGAAAAAAATGAACACTTGGAGAGATTATGTAGGGATATAGATAGTACATTGGGATATAACAGATCAACTGAAGCAAGGAAAACAATCAACAATATGAGAAAAAACTGTAACAGAAGCAAAGTACAAATAATAACTCCTACAAAATGGATGGACTACTAAGAAACATTATTGCAAGAAAATAGAGTGGAATACCAACAAGATTTGGAATGCACACATTGGCAAGAATGGGAACCTGAAATTAGTCGGCTTGATGTAAAGAGGGCTTTGGCGAGAGCCAAAAACAATAAAGCTCCAGGACCAGGAAACCTTAGAATGGAACTTTTAAAATACGGAGGCTCTAGTATAATTGAATACCTCCAAAATCTTTTTAATAGAATTGAAGTTAGTGGTGATATCCTGCAGGAATGGAATATGTCATACATCAGTTCCATACACAAGAAAGTTGACAGAACTATTTGTGAACATTACAGAGGAATTAGTGTCATCCCATCAATAGGTAGGCTATTAGTATTCCTTTAGAATACTAATTCTAAAGGAAAAAATACAAAAAGGAATAACTTTCAGCGAAGAACAAAGTGGTTTTAGGAGTGGGAGGTCATGTTTGGATAACATCCATTGCTTACGCCAGATAACAGAAAAAAATGGAATGCATGATATAGATACATATATGACATTTATTGACCTGGAAAAGGCCTATGACAGTGTTCCAAGATGTAAAATTTGGCCAGCAATGAAAAGACAAATTGCAAGAAAAATGGATTAATTTAGTTACAAAAATTTACCAGAATACTGAAGCTTGCATTAAAATGGGGAGGAAAATTACCCAAAGCATTAGAACTAACAAAGGGTTAAAGCAAGGATGTAGTTTATCGCCACTTCTCTTGGAACAAGCTTTGGAAACCTGGTACAAGAAATGTTCTCAAATGGGAGATCCCATAAATGACAAGTGCTTACATTCTTTGTTTTTTGCAGGTGATAAGGTAATTATGGCATCAGATCAGGAAGATATGGAGTATATGCTTCGCAAATTAAAAGAAGAACACGAAAAATGGGGACTTAAAATCAATCTTAAAAAGACAGAATATTTATGCATAGGAGGAGATGCCTCTAATATTAATGTCGCTGATGACGAGATAGCTAACGTTTCGAAATTTAAATATCTTGGGACTGTAATTACTGACGATGGGAAAATTGATGAAGATATAACTACTAGACTCGCAATGGGGAGGAATGCAATCAAAGCTCTGCATGGCCTTATATGGAATAGTGTTTTAAGGCAAGACACAAAACGACACATATTCCAGTATCGCGGAAAGTATTATATTATACGGAGCAGAAATGTGGCCGCTAACAAAACGCCATAGAGACAATATGGTTGGTAGAGCTCGACTTTATGAGATCTTTGCAGATAACAAGACTGGCTAAAATAAGAAACGAAGTGGTGTGGGAAAGAGCTGGGGTTCAAACAACCATAACCAGAAGACTAGAAAATAAAGCTCTTCAATGGTATGGACATGTCCAGAGGATGCGAAATGAGAGATGGCCAAAACAAATTTTAAATTGGATACCTGAAAGAAGACATAGAAAACTTGAAAGTGCTTTTTTCTCCCCCACCTGACCACCGTGTATGTTTGCATGTGTATACACCTATTCTGATTTCATAAAAAGTAAAAGGATAAACTCATACTTTATGCACTTTTAAACTGAATTCCTCTGATGTTTATGCCTGTTAATTGATAGCCAATAAAACCTACTTAGCCATTATAATATTATATCGTTTGTAATGTTATTTTAATGTTAATTGATGCAATGTACTTTATGTACAGAATAAATAATTCTTTAAAATGGAAAAACCTGTGTTAAAGGAATTCCTTAAATAAGAAATTTTGTATTGTTTTATGCAAGTGTAAAATATTCAACACAATGTGCAATACCTGTTGTTTTTGTCGATTCTTCTCAGCCTGTTTTGCTTCCAGTTGTCTTTGTTTTTCTCTCTCCTTTTCTAATTGTTTTTGAGCCAGCTTTCGTTCACGTTCTTTGACTATGTTCTCTTGTTTTGCTTTCATTTCATTAAGAGTTACTAAACCAATTGTAGAACTCTGTAGAAAATGTGTTAGTAAAGAAGTTAGTTTTATATCAAAATATTTTCAAGTAAAATATTTATATTTTTAAACATACCTTAAGCTGCTGTTCCACTGCATCATAATGTGCTGCAAATTTATTTTCTATGTTTGAAATTTTCAAGTCTTCTTCAATCTTTTTCTTCCTCAATTCTATTTCCTGCTGGGCTTTTTCTCTTTTCTTCATTAAATGCATGGCTCGGCCAGCTTCGCTGGCAGCACCTTTGTAGTGTGCCATGGTAACGTTTTGTTATCCTGAAATATCATTAGACATTTTGATAATAATTTAAGCATTAAAATAAAATTAAACGAAATTATATTGTATATAGTACTCAATACATATATAGCACATTGTAAATAGTATTAAAAATAATCTATTTATTTAATATTTTCTACACAACCATAAATTTGGAATGTTTGCACAAAATTTTAAAAAGCACGCTATTAATTTAGTTCAATTAATATAAATTAAAAGTGTGATTCTGGAATGGGGTAAAATAAAGCGATTAAAATGAAATGCCACAAATTTTCTAACCTCAAACCTGACTGCAAAATGAAAACTGGTTTGAAGGCAATAGATGCTAACTTACCAACAGATAACGCTAACAAAATTAAAGCGACGAAATATTTTATGAATCGAATAATGCAAAATGTGTCTGACGATTATAGGTCTCGGAATAGCTAACAAGAACAGTACCAACGAATACGAAAGCCAACAGCCATCAAAAACAAACGCCACAGTTTTGACACACAACCAAAGAGTAATATTCCACAGAGAAAATTCTTCAAAATCTGTGAGAGAGTGCACAAAGCCAAAGAATACACAAAACTAAAGAATTAAGACATTTTAGCGTCTTCTGGTAACAAAATATTGTACTAGTCCCTCAAAAGAAAACGCGCGTAATATGAAAAATGGATTTTAAAAATTTCTCTATTTGCTTTTCGACGAATAATAATGGCATTAATTTACATGATTCGAGATGAAATTAATTTTTACCGAGATGTTATGACTGAGATGCCTCCAAATCCAAAACTGTTAAATTGTATAATGTTAACAATCAAAATAATACAGGTTTTGGGGCTTAAGGGGGGTAATGTGCGTCAAGATAACGACTTCAAGGACATACCTCCCTTGCACAGCTCTATCTGGTAGGAAGCCCGTTAAATCGAGAAAAAAATCCAAGATGTGGAAAAAAACCTTCAGTGGCGAAGATAGGTTCTCGGAGGCCCCGGTACAGACAGTCCAAACGGAGAATAATTTACGATTATCAATCGTGAAATCGAGAGTTTAAATCTACTTCAAATATGTACGCACGATATTTTCAAGAAGATTTTACCCCTTATCCACCGAAGAAATCGTTCTCTATTTTATCTCTAATATTAGCACGTCCCAACGCCGGATTAACTCTTGCAGGGCTCCTGGAGCGGTCTTCGTGTGGTGGCTCTTAAATTACAATGCACTTGGTTATTTAATATAGGTTTTTGATCAAAGACGAAAAAAGCAAACAAAAATTTGATTTTCTACCAAGTACAATACTACTTGTTCAGAAAAAAGAATGTGATGTGATATATAATCTTCGAGAAAATTGTGTGTGGTACTTAATAACGTTTATATTTAAAGTTAGTAGTAAAAGATGTTTCAAAGTTAACATTTTCTGTTTACATACATAAAATTACACGAAAAGAGATCTAAACTAAAGAATATACGTATCCATAATTGATCATATCGGATATAACTAAACCCATTAATAGTCACCAAAAATTTTTTTCTTTGTCTATCAAAGAGGGTAGAACACACATGATGAAGAGTTGCAAAACTATATGAAAAATATCTTGATATTTTCAATATTCATATGAAGGGTTCGATTCTAGGTAGTCCTATGAACCATTTTCAAAAAATAAGATAAATGACGAACATGCCATATCTATTATTATATTTTGTGCAAATATCTTGGATTGAAGTTACAAATGGCGCTGTACTTCGAATGCATTACTTTTTAATCTTCTTAACTCTGTGACGAGAAATGAAACCTTTATCCTCTCGTATCTCAGAATGAATTCGATGCGCATAGGACTTTCTAGAGCCAAGTGTTTTATATATTTGTAATTAAGAAAGGAAATTATATTTTGTCTGATGATACATGTGATTTTTGTATTTTCTGTATTTCATTTTCGATCTGTCAGAATAATCGTTTCCTATATTATTTCAGTAGCATACATACCTTGTGCGGCTCTCACATGCAACCGATCTTTATAAATGAGGTCTCTAAAAAAAGAGAATTTCACGGAGTCATGACGAATTGCCCATTGACATGTAAAATATGAAGGATATGTTTTAAAAATGCATCTTAATATTCATGTCAAATGCAATCACAGCACTCAGTAAGATATTTCGTTTGATTACTTCTAAACGAAGCATTCTAGGGCCCAAAAAACTAAACTTTTGTGGCCACAGGCCGGGATGAAACGTTCATCACACCGTTTTATACAGGATGAAATATTCTTGGACATTATTATAAATTTTTGCTGGTTCGGCACTTATCGATATTATCAATGCCACCTACGAGTACATTTCAACCCTTGATGCCGGTGGCCATCTTTGTGACGTTACGCTTAAAAGGCTTAGATTCTTCTATCTTATACTATTTATGCTTTTTGTGTACACCGTGGATTGCGCAGACTGACGGGGTCTATTCGCATAACTATTAATACAAGATTCGCTTCGCAGCAACAACTAGAAGTACTATTAATAGTTGTTTGTTTCCGATGAAGATTGTTTCTAATGCGTGTGGTGAAAACACTCAAAACGTTTTGCTGAGGTCTACAAGTGCTCTGTACCTAATTATGGAGGGACGTGGGCATACAATGAATAGTGAAGACATGTCGTGTTAGGTTTGGTTTGGTTTGTGTTTTACTTATACCAGTATTTTTGTTATCAGCAATGATTCGGTGAAACATTCAAATCTGTGTTTAGTCACATACCTTTCTCAAGAGAAACGATTTTTTAATATTTTTGTGACTATCACGAAAGGTGAAAAGTTAAATGTGAAAGAATATTGAATAATTACTCCAAATATTTTCAAGGAAGTGTTCCAAGAAATCTCTTGATAATACTGAATAAATCTTTATTGAATTTTTCTTTTCAACATCAGTTGAATTGTTCTTTAAAATTTTTTGATATTGTGTTAGTACATTGAAAGTTACCTTTATATACTTTTAAACAAATAAATACGTTTCGTTAACAACTTTCTTTCTTAAAATAGAAGGATAGGGAAGAGTGTGGGGTTTAACATGTAATAGTTCTCGCACGGGTACGCGAAGGTAGTTGTGGAAAACTTGTGCTATGGCGCAAGAACATACTTTTTAAATTAAGTAAACTAAGATAGCTTGAAATACATGAACAACAAAAATACAAACGCGCGAGTCTACAATAATACGTAAATTAATTAAAAAAAACAACCAAATTTAAAATTATAGAAAGAGTAGCGTAAGTCATTCGACACCTGCCAACGATCACAATCCAGACGCACGATTTAAATGGCGGTATCTGGAAGTTGTACATCAATGACCAGCTGTAAACTCATATTGTAAATAATACACCGTTTGTTATTAAACTTAAGGTGTCGGTTCGCTAACATATTCCATACGTAAACATCACGTGAGCAACATTTCCATGTACCGAAGCGAAGTCTAAGCCTACTGAATTGTTTCAAATGGTAACGAATGGTATTTATTACTCTTCCTCCTCTTCCTTTTCTTCTCTCTCTTCTTCTCTCTTCTCTTCTCTCTCTTCTCCTCTTCTCTCTCTTCTTCTCTTCTCCTCTTCTCTCTCTTCTCCTCTTCTCTCTCTTCTCTTCTCCTCTTCTCTCTCTTCTCTTCTCCTCTTCTCTCTCTTCCTTCTCCTCTTCTTCTCTCTTCTCTTCTTCCCTCTTCTCTCATCTTCTCTTCTCCTTTTCCTCTTCTCGTCTCTTCTCTTCTCCTCTTCTCTCTTTACTCTCTCTCCTCTTCTCTTCTCTCCCCTCTTTCTCTTCTCATCTCCTCTTTCTCTTCTCTTCCTCCGTCTTCTGCTTCTCTTCTCTCTTCTCTTCTCCTCTTCTCTTTCTCTCTCTTCCTCTTCTCGCTCTTCTCTTTCTTCTCTCTCTTTTCCTTCTCTCCTCTCTTCTTCTCTCTCTCTTCTTCTCTCTCTCTCTTTCTTCTTTTTTCTTTCTCTCTCTTCCTCTTCTTCTTCCTCTTCTTCTTCTTCCTCTTCTTCTTCCTCTTCTTCTTCCTCTTCTTCTTCCTCTTCTTCTTCCTCTTCTTCTTCCTCTTCTTCTTCGTCTTCCTTCCGGTTTCTTATCCGCTACTTCGGTTTTCCGACGTCTAATCTTCTTCTTCAGTCTTCTCTGTTCTTCCAGGAATCAGGAGGTAATATCCACTTCTACTTTATCGTTCTGATCAGTTGGTCTTGGTCTGTCTCGATTTCTCCTTTCACTTGGTTGCCATTCACAATCTTCTGGACAGTCGTCTCTCGTCCATTCGCTGTACATGTCCAACTAGAGCCAAAAGATTACCCCGTTCCCTTCACCCACCGTTTCTCAACTCTGTGTAGATTCATTTTGTGACTAGCCGGTGAAATACACGTATCGTGCGATGCATATTTCTGGTATACACCACATAAACACGCGTGATCTAATAGACTATGCCTTTGTAGTTGCGTCAGTGATATTGTAGAGCTTTATTCGCTAATATGGCGAATAAAAAATTAAAAAATCTGTGACTTGTAACATTTAAGTATTGTTCTGAACATTTATCAATCATAATGGGTCGATGGCAATCATAATAAAGATCGCGTGACGAGTTACTTCAGTGGACGCCTCTCAAAGCCATGCGTGCATAGCACCAAGCAAGTGGCTGCTGTGAGAGTCAAGTCATTTAGGCCTATGTATAAAACCCTTTGAAATGTATTTATAACTACTTATCATACATGTTCAATCTATTAAATTTAATGTTTCATCGTAAAAATGAGTTTTCCTTCATTTTTACCCAAAGTGGTCTTCCAGACTACTCCTTCGTAACAACGTTTAGTACGAGTACATGCAGGACTTACGTAACATGGTACCCAATTAGTGATATTTGCATTGAAATAAACGAAAGTCAGTATTTCTGTCTAAAAATATTGTATAACATACGTGGTAAAAGTGGTTTTATTTTTCTCGTAGGATTGCGCTATTCGGGCTATCGGCCTCGTGTTGCAATATCTCTTTCGCGCAAAATAATATGTAATTTTTACTACTCGTATCATAAATACCTTTTTTGGACAAGTCATAATTAAATTTATTTCTTACTCGATATCAAAATGCAATTTTTAATGTTGAAAATATGAAATGTTGAAACTATTTGTGAATGTAACAAAGAAATAAATACCTTCGGCTTACTGCTTCATAAGATTACAATAGACTGCTCTGGCTTTCTGCTGCGGGATTGTATTTTGTTTAAGCTAAGAGGTACATGTTGAAAGAGAAAGTTATATTTCCTCAATCTTTTTTTAGTATGTTGTTCTTTATATGCAATTAGTATCGATTTATATATTATTTTTATGAACAAGGACCGTACTTTATACTTTTAAATTATGTTTGATAAAATAGAAAAATACTGGATTCTGCAGCTACTGCTATAAACATGACTCATTATCGGATTCGTGCCTATTCGCATGGTTTTATGATAGTGATGTATATACTATAAATATCATCAAGAAATTTGAGTGAAAGCGGGATATTGTGAGATTTGTGACTTATCTTTACTTTTTCATTCATTTTTTTAATATATTTTCTTGTTTACTGGCACGAACATTCATTAAAAAACGTTTTTAACACGAAAAAAGTAATTAAACAAGGGCTTTTAGTTAAGTATGTACCTTCTGTAACATGCTCCATGTCAAAATGTGAATGATTATTTTCACAGAACAAAAATATTTGGCTTCGACTCCGCACTAAAATGTCCGTCCAGCTTGGGTGACGCCGTAAACACAATAAAACCCTATCTTCAACTTCAAAAACAGCTTTCACTTGTAAATTTCGGTCGTTCTTATTAATTATGGGGTTTAATAGTGTAGCCAACCTAAGAATAGAAACTTTTTTTCGAATTTTCCCCTCTATTAGAAATATATTTAATTATTTATATTTTTTGAGGCTATGTCAATAACCGGATGAGACAATGGATATCAGATAAATGGACATCAGATTCGGATTTAGCGACCCCAAAAACATACAGAAAACGTGGTCTGATTCCCAGACACGAACACAATTTTTGTGTGTGTCTGTATTATCTTACATGTGTTTACAATGGAAAGAAGTATAGGAAGAATCTCTTGGACTACGATCGAAAGCGGCGTGCCGTTCTCATAAGCAATAACAGCCACGCTATTGATGTTATTGATGGTATCTTGGCACTGGTAACTTGCCGACGCTTGAAGGAGACCACACAGATTCAATTCCAACTGGGGAATCAGTGGTGATTCCATAACATTGTACGAGTAACAATACTAATATTATACTTGAATATTACATTTATTCTGTAACCAATCGATGTTAGTGCGACAAAAAATTGTAGATAATCTTTTGCTTCAACCAACTCTGCATACTTTAGGCATAGAAATTACTGGCAATTTACTATAATCCGGTAGTTTCTCGATGTAGAAAGGGTTGCCTATCCTGTAGGCGTTGCCTGCAGACACGAGAACAAGACCAGAATTTCCAGAAAATAGCTGAACAGTATTTCTTTGCATTGTTTGCTAAATGAGAAAAAGTGCATTGGTATAGTTCTAATTTTCAATAAAACGTCTCACATTTTGAATTTTTAAAAAAATGTTTAAACAAAAAACCAAAGGGTTTTCGTATAAAATTAATTGTAGTGTTCTACTCAACGAATTTTTGCGGTTGTTGCTTAAAATGAAACGTGATGGGGCCTCAGATTTTTTTATCAATTGCCACTTTTAACTGGTTGTTACCGGTGCGTCAACTACTTAGATCATTAGTCTCAGAGATGTGGTTCATGTTGTATCCCAGTAGTGGCAGCGATTCTCCCCCGCCGGAACGTGTGATCCGACGCTTACCTACATTCAGGCTTGCGGTGATTCCTTATCCAAGCATCTCCTTAGTGCCACACAGACCCGGTGGAGACGAGTTATAAACTGCTGGCCGGTCTCCCAAAATATGTGGCAGTGTAGCGCATTTATGTGCTAGTCAATGAGTACGGGGAGAGGAGGGCACAAGGATGAGGAAGGAAATACCGCGAGGGGACCGCGGTCTATTTGTTGGGGTTCTACCCTGGCATTCGCCTGGTATTTAACGGAGAAACGTCCTAGAAGGCGACAAAACGACTGTTCAGTGCTGCCGGCTCCTGCCATTGGTTGAATTCAATTCAGCTATGTAGCTTGTGTCGATAATACGGCCCCGTCGGAACTCGTATTCTAGAACCTCACATGCAACGATGCAGCAAATTCGACGCCTTTAAGCCATCACAGTCGTTGTCCCTCACGCGTGACGTCGTTCGCTCGCTCCTGGTGATTTACACGCGATGCTTGTTGAATTTGGCCGCATGCTGCTACATCGTCGGGTCTCGTACTCCAGACCTTCCCGTTTAACGATCTTGCAGAGACAACGGTGTTGAGTTGCTCTTGGAAATCACAGCTGATGCCTATTAACGTCGTTGTACATTGTGACTTCCGGTCTATCACCCATTGTATGAAGTTAGCGGGCCATAACAGCGTCGGGGCGAGAACACCAGAACTTTGCGAATAACGATGGCTCAGCGAGTACTATGTGAGCACTGAGTGACCTAACCTGTCATTAGTTGTTTTGTTTGCTGGCACCCAATGTTTCGCACGTGTTTCGTTGGCGACGCGTGGCAACACTGATGGGTCTCGAATACCATAACTTTCGGTCAACGATATCGAAGTGGTCATAGTGTTGCCTCCGAGCCAGTCTGTGATGGCTGAAAGGCAAAGGCGTCTATCACACATTTTTTGATTTATTTATTTATTAATTATTGATTCCAGGCGCGTTAATTGATATGGTCGTTAGTCCGTAAGTCTAGATCATGTTTTTTTTCTCTCAGGAAGTGGCGGTGATCGCTGGAAGGCGAAATTCGGCACCAAACTACCGTCGGCTAGCGAGGTTTTCCTTAACCAGGTATCTTCTACTGGAGGGGTACTGCCCCAGTTGGGACAAGTTCTACTTTCCCGATCGGTCTCCCAGCATGTATAGTAGTGTAGTGCATGTTAGTGTAAATGTGGAAGGGGGGTGAGAATAGGACAAGGAATGCGAAGGAAAGATCGCGCGCGGTCCATGGCCCGTTTGTTAGTGTAAGTGCTCTGGCATTCGAATGGTGTGGGAGAAACGACGGAAAACTACCGATCAGAGCAACCGGCCGCTAGAATTCCCCTCCAGACGGCGGCTGAACCCGTCCTAGCTATGTGGCTAGTGTTGAAAACGCTGCCCCCGTCCCTGTCACACGAAATGTTGTTCGCACGTGACAACTGTGTGCGGTTTGATGTTTCGCACGTAACAACTGTCTGCGGTTTGATGTTTTGCACGTGACAACTGTGTGCGGTTTGATGTTTCGCACGTGACAACTCTGTGCGGTTTGATGTTTCGCACGTGCCAACTGTCTGTGGTTTGATGTTTCGCACGTGACAACTGTGTGCGGTTTGATGTTTCGCACGTGACAACTTTCTGTGGTTTGATGTTTTGCACGTGACAACTGTGTGCGGTTTGATGTTTCGCACGTGCCAACTGTCTGTCGTTTGATGTTTCGCACGTGCCAACTGTCTGTGGTTTGATGTTTTGCACGTGACAACTGTGGTGCGGTTTGATGTTTTCGCACGTGACAACTGTCCCTGTGGTTTGATGTTTCGGCACGTAACAACTGTCTGTGGTTTGATGTTTTGCAACGTGACACTGTGTTGGCGGTTTGATGTTTCGCACGTGACACCCTGTGTGCGGTTTTGGATGTTTTCGCACCGTGCCAACTGTCTGTGGTTTGATGGTTTTGCACGTGACAAACTGTGTGCGGGTTGGGATGTTTCGCACGTGACAACTGTGTGCGGTTTGATGTTTCGCACGTGCCAACTGTGTGCGGTTTGATGTTTCGCACGTGCCAACTGTGTGCGGCGGGCGCGGCGCGCGGCGCAGCGTCCAGCGTCCAGGTGGCCGGGGGCCTTGACGAGGCGAGCGAGGGCTCTGGGACACTTCCAAAGGCGGGCGCGCTGCGGCCGCGCGGGAGTCGTGACCCGCTTCGCCGGGCGGGGGTGGGGTGGCGGTGGCGGTGGCGGTGGGGCGAGTCAAGGAGGCCGCGAGCGGGGTCGTCACGCCAAGAAATTGCAGCTATGAAGGAAGAATAGATAAACGGCGCGCTTCGCCCGCTGTGTCAGTGCCCTTGGCGCGTTACTGTCACTAGTTCGCCTTACGTTTCAGAAGGCGTTGGCGAGCGCGATGAGTTAATGGAGCTGCCTCTGTTTGGAATGTTCTGCTGGCTCTATTAGTATTAGGTTGGTCAGTGTAATGTATTCTGTGAGGCAGAACCCACATTTTTTCTTCTGGATTTAAAATATTTTGATAAGTTTTTGAAGTAAATTAAGGCGAAATTGAGGATTAGTGTGATTTTATGTATACCAATTGTCTGATTAGTGTGACTATTCCACTCGTAAAACTGAAACAAATAGAGTTTAACTTTACGTATAAAATGACCTAATCAGGACGATGGTATCTAAAAAAAAATTATCACTTTTCCCATCAGATTTTTCTTACCGCTCCTTTCCACTGGCCAATAAATAAGCTGTGACTTATCTATCTTAGGAAGTGGTATATATCGATTGAGATATTGACGTGAAATAAACCGTCTTCGAACACAACATAACCCTTTTGATTTTAACATACTTTCAATTATTTTCAATATTTGACGCATTTTGGAACTCTGTTGGATGCAATTTCAATCTTGGAATAGTCCTATAATATACTATTCGAGCTTTGAAAATTCTCAGATAAATCCCCTCCTCACATCGCGAGTCGAGAATTTGTTGATAACTTCCAAAGCACTTGTGGTATTACCTAAAATTATATTGTGAGGTTTATCGGTATGAAGATCAGTGGTTACAAATGAAAGAGAATATTTAGGACCATTAGAGAAGCTGAGAAATTTTACGGTGAGAAATAACAGAAACATTTACGGTGAGAAATAAATTGTTTTTAATTTATATTTATTCCTTTTATACCTGCCTACAACCCTACCTAATGCTGATATCGGTTAGCATTATCATCATTTTCAGTTTTTATGTTTTGTAACTAATTTTTATTACTTTACATTACAGCTATAACTCCATTGCATAGTTGAAATAATCTGTAAATTAAGCTGAAGGACCCCAAAACATTGTAAACTGTGGTCATGCGATTCCATTTATTATCTAATTTATTTTATTAATTTTTTCTGCGACTGGCTATTGAAGACTTTTCACCGGTCGTTTAAATGTGTACTGCGTAGGTTGGTAGGGACAATGGAATTATATAGGTGTATGTATACATATATATATATATATATATATATATATATATATATATATATATATATATATATATATTAAATGAATACATTTAAAATGCAATTTCATTTTCAAAGTGAAACACCAACGGCTCTATTCATTAATTACCAAAGAAGCGTTCACATTTGAGTGTTATGCTCCTCAGCAATCGAAATCGAGTGGTATCACAAAAACTACGTAATATATAATAATTTTAAAATAAACTGAAACAAATAATACTGTTCATTCATTTACGTGTACTCGTTCATACTAGTATGATTGTTTTGCTTCAATATTTACTCTTCTCATAACAACACTTGATATTCTTAGAAGAGTTTTCATTTTTTATGAAAATTTCCATTTCTTTGAGTTTCAGTATGCCTGGACTCTTGAGTAGCCGAATCACCATCATTCCCTACAGCACAGTGACTCATCCATCCAATCATCAGTCATCCATTTAATAGTACCATAGAAACACGAGAATGAAATCATCTAAAATACATTTAAAGAAACTTAAGCCTTAAAAGATTTACGTTTTCATTAACACTAATCATAACTTCTCCGTATCATAATAAAAGTTGTCATATGATCTCCTAGAGGTAAATTTAAAATATATTTTGAGTATTTCTTCGCATTATTTTATTATCTACCTTGTTCCTTTAAAATGTTTTCAGATTTGATACCATCCTCTAGAGACTAGCTTCATTGTGCTATCTTGCATTTCTTTCCCTACAAAAATATCTAATTTAAGATAATGTTGCAGTAATTGTGACATGATAAAAATGTTGCTAATTTATGTAATTATTATGCTTCTTATGATCTCGATTTACTCTCAATTTCTGAGAAAACAATCTCCGTTCAAATATTGACGCTCAGGGTAATGGATTAGCTCGAAACTCTTCTTTTTTAAAATCTAAATTCATTTTTCTTGCTTTTTATACTAAAATAAAATTAAATCATGTTATTAATGCTAATGTAACTATTAATAAGCAACTTTAAAATTCTTTAGCTTGATGAAGAAGATCGAAAGAAAAAGAGCACTTGTAATTTACAAAAATTCAGATATTTTCAAGAAATTGAACTATTACTTTATTTATCAGAGTACTCCCTTTGAACAATTTTTTAAAAAAATGGAATATTTTTTTAGACAACATTGAAAATATGGGTGATCAGGGCTGTACGGGTGACGCCGCGTCGAAGGCTGCGTTGCCGACGTTTCGACCATCCTGTCGTGGTCTTCCTCAGGGCTGGTTTGCGAGGCCGGCATACCAGCCCTGAGGAAGACCACCTCAGGATGATCGAAAAGTCGACAACACAGCCTTCGACGCAGCGTCACCCAGACAGCGCCGATCACCCCCATGACTCTGGCCGCGGAAGCTTGCGACTTCAAAATTGAAAATAATTAGGTAAGAGTAATGCATTGCATAGAATGATATACTTAAAAAGTTCCCTCTAGAACTAAAGGATTTACTTCAAATTCACCGGCTGCGGTGGCTTAGGACAACTGTTGCCACTGCAGCGTCTCTGACCAGTGAGCCCTGTTTTCAATAACACTAATCATAACTTCTCCGTATCATAATAAAAGTTGTCATATGATCTCGTAGAGGTAAATATAAAATATATTTTGAATATCTCTTCGCATTAATTTATTAGTGGCGACTTTTGAACACTAGTTTGACAGGTAGGTATGGAGGAGAATTCTAGCGGTCAGCTGTTTCGATAATTAATTTTCCTTAGTTTCTTCGAAAAATACCAGACAAATGGCCCAGAAGCACCAAGATAAACGTGACTTGATTACGAAAGATCTTCTTTTCCTTATTTCTGGCCCTTCCTGTCTCCACACACACGCGCGCGCGGACCCCCGACCCCCCCATAAAAACACACAAATACACAACACACACACAGACACACACACTTCCAAGCACTACACTACGACACAAGCTGATAGACTAGTATGCAGTTAGAGATTGATCAGACAGAGGCTGTGACTCGCCGACAGAGACACCTGGAGGGGGAAACCTGTCCGTAACGATTAGGTCAGCGCCGGATCTCGCGTTCTAGCTAGAGAGAAAAACCGCCACCTCCCGGGATATTATATGCACGACTCCTACGGAACTAATGCTCTTAGTAGCTATCGCGTCTGGAATATCAAAATAATCAATCAATCTTTCAAATTCACTGGGCCCGGAGTTGAGCATGATCGATTCGAGAATGTGCTACAAAAATACTGTTTTAGTGTAAATAGCATTCAGAACGTTATTTCCGACATCTAGAGAATTTTTTTTACAATATAACATAACGTTCGTAGGTATTCATAAGCAACCAGTCATTCCTTTAAATTCTTAGGCAATGAATACCATTTAGTTATCTTTTTATTGAAGTGCTTAATGAGCAACATTTATGTAGGATCTCCAGACAATTTAAGAAGGCGCGTATTACAACAGCCTGCAATGCCTGAAAAACGTCGAAAATGAATAAAGAAGATATTCTTTATGAATTTAAACGAAGTGGACAAAAAATATTTACTCTTCAATCTTCTCTGTTTTCACTTTTCTAAAAGAGAAATTACAGTGAACGAAACAAAGGAGATACAAAATACTACACGGCGTTATTGCACAGTCGCGAGGTCATATTAGGTCACGGAAGGATAAATTGAGATTCTATCGCAGGAGAATTAGAAAGCAGAGGTCAGACGAAGCGTCTGATTTTTACACCTGAAAGAGTGGCGTAAAAGTCATTGGATTAATTTTAGTACATAAATCAGGTAGGAATACTTCAGGAGAGCGACTATCGAAAGGAAGAAATTGCAAGTACGAGAGATAAATAAGAAACTAGCTTGTCCCTTGCGATTACATCGCAGGAAAGGAAGAGCAGTAGAAACTACTGGTGCTTACAAAGCACATTCTTTCTCGCAATGTTTCTAAATGCTATGCAATATTATATTGGTTTGAATACTATATTGAATAATTGATTTGATGTGATATACGTTTTACAATGACAACAAGAGAATTGTAAACTTGTCTAAAATTTCAAAATACGAAAATGACACATCCAGTTTATTTATATTTTAATCACTTGCATGTGTTAGTAGAATTGATTCAAATGATTTTCAATAAAGTTACTACAATTTTCGAAAGTTTATGCGGCAACAGGGAGTTGTGGCAAATAATTATCCTCGAGGCAGTCGACCTTCCCTCAGAAACGCTGAGTCCGAACACGACATTTTATCACTTCGGCCAACCGGGTTATACAGAGATTTGGCACGTCTATAATAGTCATAAAGCCGAAAGACATGAATTGATTTGATGGCTCATACGTTTTACAAATCCAATAAGAGATGTGAAAAATTGTTTAAAAACTGAAAACTTGAAAATCACATAGAGACACTTCCAGTTTATTTGTGTGAAAACACTCTTCAAATTTTGCGTTTACAGAAACGCTTTAACGACATTTTCTCAAAAATAGTTTCAAATTTTTCGACGAAAATTGCCATATGGGATGAGGTTTTACTGTTCTAAAATATTATTAAAAGTCGTATTTTAGGTGCCCGTTAGTGGACTGAAAAATTGACAAAATGTTGACGGAAAAATTGAAAAAATGTGGGAAAATGCACTTTGGGTGGCGATAGATGGCAGCTGGGAAGAGGGTGGAGCAAAACCGAAATTGTAGCCGAGGCCAAAGAAATTAGAAAACTGAGTATTACAAGAAAGTCTGTGCTATTCTGTAGCACCACTAGTTTACTGATACGACGTTGCTTGTTATTGCCTTTAATAGGAACATAACTTGTCTGCACCGAGAGGAGCGTGGTTACGAGGGAAATATGAAAACAGATGAATATTGGTACACGTTCTTTAATGAAGAGAATTATGAAAGGGAATTATGGGAGGGTAATATGGAAAGACAAACCAACGAGTTAACACCTAGTTAATTAGTAAATAAGTAAAAACGAATCTTAATAGGCCATCATTATCATCATAATTCAAAAATAAAATCTTGTATATACCACTGATGTTAACTGATTCTGATGAGGTCGGTCAACAAAATACCCTCGAATCAAAGGCCCTCTGTTTTTTTGTATCGCCATTATATCATTTGTACCCTTATACCGTCCTTGGTGCATACATAACCAAAGGCCCTCTGTTTTTTGTATCGCCGCTCGATCATTAGTACCCTTATACCGTCTTTGGTACATACATAACTATTCATGTCGTTCAATATTTATTCTTAAGTATTAATGAAGTAAATAACTACTGAACTCCTGTTATCAATCTTAAAAATATAATTAACGACTTATTATTATAATATATACTTTTTTGAAAATCACATGTTAGACGATTACTGGGCGATATACACTCACTGATATTTGATATAAAACGCTCATTACGCTTGGCTCGTAGAACACTCGATATCTTTGTCTGGCTAAACAGTACCCTCACATACGCACGCTTGCTCGCGCTAGACGACGAAACGTCGACTGAATCGACGCAGATCTTCTACAAATCGAACAACAAAACGATATAAAGAACAAATTATAGCAGATAAGTGTTCATTACATTAATTTTAAAACATTATTAACATTCAGTTTTATACTATTAAACCGGTTTATAAGATAAAATGATAACACCTTTAGGGCCCACTACATTCCATTAAAACAAAACACGAAATTTGACTGAGTAGAAAGCTTAATTATTTTTGTGCACGAAAACCTTAAGTGTCTTACACATAAAGATGTATTCGGATACTCCACTTGAAGTTAAAAACAGTTACTCGTATATATCCTCATTAGAACTTCACAACTTATCTGATTTAAAATATAAAGAAATTGAAACATATTGTGAACATTTCTTTGATTTTTAGTAAAAATATTGGGATTTCGGAAATTTCAAAATGTTTGTTCTAATGGATGGAGACCAAATAATCGCAGCCTAAGGGGTGCCTTGTAGGCAACCATCCTGTCAGCAATCTATTCTTGGCTGCCTACTCCACGAAAAATTTCGCGCAGGGGAGACGTTGAGTGAAATGCATTCCAAATTTCTGGTACGTTCACGTTTATTGTCCATAGCTTGCAACTGAAGCTTCATCGTCAGGTAGGTTCTAGGTTGGAGTCACGATGTTGTATTTTCATTTCAGAGAGGGAGAGAGAAAGGGAGAGAGAGGGAGAGAGAGAGGGAGAGAGAGAGGGAGAGAGAGAGG